GCTAATAAAACAGTACACTATTATGAAAGTATACTTTAAGCACCTATGCTCAAAGCATAGGGCGCTTTTTTGTAATTGTGGTATATTCCAAATATACCACTAAAACTATAGTCATATATTTGAGTTTCCTTTATTGTCCTGAAAATAAACACGCTTAGTTTGTGTGGAATTGAAATAAAAAATGTAACATCACGTCTTAAACACTGTGTGTAAGTCACTGGCTGATGCAAGCACCCTGATGTCTTGGTAAGCCCATTTGTCTTTGATTACGGAGGGTTTCAGGTGTGTGTATGAGACAGAGAAAGAGAGATTTTCCTGTTTTATCCAAGTCCCTGTCTGCCTGAGTCTGATCATGCCAGATGTGTCAGTGTGCGTGTGTGTTTGTGTGTGTGTGTACTGCTATGCTAATGTGTGTTTCCTGAGGACTTAAAGGGCTTAGTCTGGTCTGACCCTGCATACAGATCACACACTCTTTGGTCAACAAGCGGACCACGACCTTCAGCATGCATTAATACACACACACACACACACACACAAACACACACACACACACACACACACACACAAAGATGCACATTCACACACACACACAGTACATGGACTAGTAAGCAGGCATTTGCCCAAAGACACATGACCAAAACTTGTACATGTTTCTGTATGTAAAAGTAAGTATATATGTTAAATGTATGCACATATGAGTATGTGATGTATGTGTGTTGCTTCAGGTTAATTTATGTTGTGATATTCTGAGTAGAACATGGACATGCTGGCATGTATGAGTGCACACAGTGAGAATGTGAAGGCAGCTTTGTGTATGGTGTCTATGTCTGCTTCTCTTTACTTCATCATCCAGTTTTAATATATTAAGATAAAAAAGGCTATGCTCCTCCAGACAGCAAGTCACAAAAAAGCACTTTACGGTCATTCTTCAGCAATAGTTTCTCAACTATCTCAATGATTCGTGTGGCTAAAAATGCTTGGTTTACATCATAGGTTAAGTGAATGAAAATAGTGTTGCTTTTTAATAACAAATTTCATCCACTTCTTCACTCAGATGATTCAAATGGGCACTTAACGCAGAAATTGGACTGTCTTGCCTAAAAAAAAAGGGCAACCATTGATGTGATGCATCATTGTTGGAGTTGTTATGATGCTGTTGTTGCATCACTGCAAAATGTCTTAGGCAGGAGATTAGGGCAGGACAGTTCGTGTTGGCTTCTTCTAACTACAAAGATGATCTTTCTTCACGCCAGCCAAGTGGTTATCGTTGCCATAACAGGGCCATACCTTAAAACAGAGGTGGCAGGGCAGAAAATTCTCCTGATGTTGATGGAATGTTCTGAATGTTCTGAGGATACTAACACTTTTATTTTAGTATGAATTTGTCTCGCAAAACTGGGCTGTTTGCGCCTCAGAGCTCAACCTATTAGACTCTGTTTTGGGGAAGGTGGAACATGACACGTCACTGAATCCACACTTCTAAAACATGCAAAGGAAAAGAAACACCATCCACTACACACATACATAACGAAGCAGAAAGAATATATATGTCTCAGTGTGCTGTACGCGTTCTTTTCTGTGTCTATGTTACCTGTATATGTGGTAGGAGGTGATGACTCCATTTGGTTTTTTCGGGGATGACCAGTGGATCTCCAGGACGTTGGCTCCCACAGCGTTTAATGTGGGGGGCAGCAGATCTTCTGGGCTGGTCTCTAGAGTCTGAACGTAGACCCCCTCGCCTAACCCACATCCCTCTGTAAGGAGCAAAACAGGGTAGTTGTCACAGAAACACAAATTTCAAGAGACGGTATGACATTGAAGTTTCCTATAACAACCCTATACGTATAGGAGAGATAAACCTGCAATGTTGCTTTTGAGATTGTAGTGTCTGTTGTACAGTAGATTTTCTGTGCTGTGAACTCATGAACTACGGCAATTTAATAATGCGATGCAGATGATTTCATTTTAAATGAAGTAACTTACCTCTCTGACAGGCCTGCACTCTTATGTAGTAAGTGGTGAAAGGCTCTAGACCTGTCACATTAAGGCTCAGGGCCTGTCCAGCACGATGCATTGCAGCACTGTCACTTCCTGGATTGAACAGGATGTTGTACTTCAAAGGCTGGTTGTTGTTTAGTTGAACTGTGGAAAGAGACATGATATGATGTACTTTTTTTGGGAATGACATTTATTTGAATACATTCACAAAATAAACAAAAAAAGCAAAATAAGGGGAATGATTTAAACTTCTTTCTCTACCAGCCAAACTGCCAGCATACTATATTTTGAACACGTTACATGCACGGCAGAAGGCACAATAAATAAATACACATGGTTTTTCATTGCCGTTCCCAAACTGCTTTGGTACAGCCTTCAGCCTGTTGTGTGTAAAAGTTTCATCCATTTTCTATACACCGCTTAGTCCTCACTAGGGTCACGGGGGGTGCAAGAAAAATAATACTGTTGATTACAAGTGAAAAGAAGTCTATGCATTAAATGGTAATTCACTGCCAATTTTGAAATAAAAATAGAATAAAAGTCAACGGTCGTTGTGGCGTGTGCAAAACTTTGGGTACATTACAACTTGTCAAACACTTGGAACTTCATGAACTCATTAGTGCTTAACTAACGACAGGATTTGAAAGGCTCCTGATAACTATTAGCTCCTCTAAGTAACTGACTATGATCAGAAAATGGAGTAATTTGTGTCTGCAAAGTAATGGGAGGACTAAAATAAGATATTAAAGCACTGCTTGTCATTCCCACTATCCATAAGATTAGGGCTTCATGTCTGCTGCTGAAAAAGATGTAGCAAAACCCCTACATGATTGCAAAAGAGCTGCAGGATGTTTTAGCTGACATGAGAGGTGGTAAACTGTTGTGTTGTGCAGCGTTGATGCACAAACAGTGTCTACATAGAAGAGTTATCATGCTTTGTTCTGTGGCACCGGAACAGGAAATACCGTACAGATAGAGGGGAAAAATGGATCTCACCAAAAAATGGCAAATTCTAGATGCAAATGTCATGCAATCAGTCGGGCAAGTGAAGCTGAAAAGAAGCCAGCTGTCACATCAGGACAATGACCCAAAGTAAACCTCAAAATCCACCATTAACCAGTTTGGCAAACTAGAGCTTTTGGAGTTGCCCTCAAGACTTAAAAATACTGAAAATCTCAAGGGAGTACTCAAACAAATGATCTGCAAGGAAGAGTGGCTAAAAAACACCAATAAAAGTCTCTTAGCTGGCGACAAAAAGCATTCACAAGGTGCGCGATCTGTAAAAAGGGGAACAGTTGTAGTTGGATACCCACGTTTTAGCACATGCCAGAACGATTGTTTTATTTCTGTTTCATACTGTAAGACAGAAATCATAAAGCACAACTCCTTTACAACTTTATTTTTAGGTACAGTCAAATTTTAGCGATAATTGTGTTTTAGGCAGTTGCATATAATATTGTTACGTGTATCGTGTATACAATACTTTGACAGATGGTTTGTATTTTAATAAATACAGTCCTATTCTGTATCTAAAACACATAAAGCTGACTAATCTTTGCTTTACAATCCTGGCACTGTGGTCTCTCAACCAGACAAAAACACACCGATGTATACATACAGACAACACTCACACAGATACACACACGGCCCGAGACTTTGTTAATATTCTCACCGGAGGTTTTTCCATAATTCAGGCCAACTGTATTGTGATGGGTTATTCAACATTCATGAACTCTGGATATCTTGAGAACGAACTGATTACCAGACAAATGAAAGACTTCAATTATTCACCCCCCAACTCACATATGCACACATGCACCTACACACACACCTCTGACTTCAGCACATGGAGCTTTTTATATGAACACACTTTGGCTGCATTAACACACCTTCACACAACACACAGACACACACACACAAAGAGAGATATTTATATGTAAGCACACACAGAGGTGATAATGCCAATGAAGTTTAAGTGATATTTAAGTTCTATTATTTACAACCAATCAGCTGTTTTACCATCTTATATTTCACACACATGATGCCTCCAATTACAATTCACATGTTCTCTTACATACAACAAAAACATACATACAAGAGCCTCTCTTTCTCTGATACACACATGCACCCACAGACAGGCACAAACACCACAATGGAGGAATTGATCCTAGAGTAAATGTCTTTTTAATAGCCATACGTCAGTGCTTTGGCAGTCAGTGTATGCATATTAAGACACAAACACATGCGCACGTACGTACACACCGGCAGACACGCTGCCACGGAGTCGGGCATGCACACACACACATATACACACACAAGACGAAAACACTCCAGACTCTGGGCTCAGGGAGTTAACCAAGCGTGAGAACCCAGCCGATATTTCCTCACCTTTAAAATCAGCCCATAATGACAATAGAATAGGCCTGCCTATGGAAATATCTCACAATGACGCGCACGCACACGCACACGCACGCGCTCAAATACACATGTGTAAAGATGCATACATAAACACAGGCACAAACATACAGAAACAAAAGACACACAAATCCACACACACACACACAACAAAGTGAAGTGTCTTTGCTAGTTGGCCCCTTTAAGCGGTTTCTGAGATAGGAAATCAGCCTAATGAGAGAGTAATAGTCAATGATAGATGGGTTAGGGCAGACAATCACTGCCCCATAAGCATGAAACTCAGCCCCAAGTGTATGCTCATGTATGCCTGTGTATGTGTCCAGGTCTTGAGAGGCCAGAAGGTGAATGGAAAACTACTCAGGGCTTTTGTTCGCCTGACCCCCTCTCTGCTGGTTGTTCTTTTAATAATATTCCCAATGTCCCTCGATAAAGAAGCGTAGGGTGATGCAACCAAAGGGCACAGTATTTTATTATTTCTTTAACAAGCTGAAATGTTGGAATTATAAAATGCCCACAGAGCACATTGAGACACACAAAAAACTGTTAACAAATATAAACAGGTTAGCTCTGTTATCAGTGATCACGACTGTAACGACTAAATTCACTCCACAGAAAAATGACCCCGGGCCCATCCATCCTTTCACCCAACCACATATCCTTTCATTTAGATTGCTACTCACCAGGAGGGGACCAGGAAAGAGAGATGGAGTAGGGGCCTGACACTGTCACATTGTGGGGAGGTGGGATCCCAGTGGGGCACGAGACTGGTGTTTGTATAACATATTTGTCACTCACACCAGTCCCACCCCCTGTAGTCGCCTGCAGCTCATACAAATACCTGCACAGACAAGAGGTGTAAAGAGGGGTGTAGAGAAAGAGCAGCAAAGAGACAACAGAGAACTGAGGGATCATGTAAAGGCAGTCAGTGTTAAAGGGCCAATGCACCACAAAGCTGTTTTGTTAAAGGTGGAGTGTGCAATTGTAATCTGATACACGTTTATATTATCTTCTCATGGTCTGCTGGAAGTCCATTCTGTGTGTACGCTCATGAAGTGGAGGAAAGACGGCAGTGGGAAGGGAGCGAGAGGGACGGAAAATCTGGCAAACGATAACTAAATATGGGAAGGAGCTAAACGCGAACAAACTTTCTCCAGAATTGCAGACTCCTTCTTTAACATAGCTCACATACGTTTCTTAGCACATTTCGGTTACCTGATAACACATTTAATTAAATTATGTGACACATGTTTAATCTTAGTCATTCCACAGTTATTAAAAAACGTATTCATCTAATACCTCACCGTGTATGTCTAGTTTTCTTCCATCCATTACAGCAAAATGTTGTCTTTCAACTCAGAGCTATCACTTACATGCTACACGATGCTGTAAACAGTTTGTGCAGAAGAAAATCTGAACCAGAACTTGCTGTTATTTTGCTGTTTGTGTTTTTACAATGAACATTGGCTTTGCAAAACACAGTGGTCTCACTGAAATGAATTAGAGAATCGGTTTTCTTGCAGCGTGATTGTCTCTTTACAAGAACCTTGAGTTGCAGTAGTTGATGAATATTCCTACCCAAGGATGACAACTGAAAAAAGTTTTGAATGAAATGAAGCGTCACCTATTGGGACTACCTATTTACATCAAAACGTGTGTAACTGAATTCTTTATTTGACTCATCCTTACCTGTCATGGCAAATGTGGGGGGAAAAAAAGTTATGAAAATCACAAATACTTCTGTGATGAGTTTGAATTATAAGCTTCAAAGTTGTGATCAACCAACAAAAGGGGAGAAATTTAATGTTTAAACTTTTCTGAAACAATCCCTGGAAAGACCCACAGAAGATATGGCTTTCTCCATATGCCAGCATGATTTACATTTCAGCATTTCAAAGTGTGCGTCCACATGTCGCCGCGTGTTTGTGCTTATACAGTAACCACTACCTTGATTTCTTCACATTTCTCCGTCACGCACCTTTTCTCTCCCTCGCTTTCATTTGTCTCGCTGCCTCTCGACACACTCTCCACCTCTCTTGCTCATGACATCATAAGATAGATTTCCCTTTTAAGAGCGTGTGGCTGGTTGGTGCTAAAGCCTACATTAGCTGTGTAAGTGGGCCACCATTTAACATTAAAAGCCTTTAATTTGCTATAAACCCCAGCACACATGCATTAATAGGCGGCGGTGTTGGGTTATTGTTCCTGTGCAGAGCGTTTTAAACAGGAGGCCATTAGCGCCTCGGCACTGGGTTAGAACGCACTCAGGGAAAGGTATTAAAACTACTCATATGTTACTCTAATAGACACACACACACACACACAAGTAGAGACACACGTATAAAAACATAAATAAATGCATCTCGCTGAGACACGCCGACGACGTCAAGGAGAGATAGAAAGAGAGAGGGAGGAGAGAGAAGAAGAGAGTGATGGAGAGGGAGAACTGTATCATTGGCATAAGGTTTCAGTGGGAGAATGAAGTCAAACACTTCATCACTGGAAGATATTTACTTAAATGTAAACACCGCCTTGGGATATCAAAAGTAAAATTGTGTGTGTGTGTGTGGTAGGTAATCGGTGAGTGGAGGCATTTGCATCTGTTTGGCTGTGAATGTGTGTGTGTGTGTGTGTGTCCTGCGGGGCCAGCCAGAGGGAATAGGTTAATTCTCTCGTCATCTTAGACACTTCCTGGGCTGCCGAAGCAAAGTGACAGCTAATCAACATTGTCATAAATAATCAATGGCCACTTTGAGCGGTCTCACGCACCACACACACACACACACGCGCGCACACACACACACACAAAGGCGCGCACTCGCACGCGCACACACGAGTCTGCCTGGATAATGGGGCCGGTGCTCCCTGTGTAATTCTCGGCGCAGGGCTAAATTGGGAAAAGAAGGGAAAGAGGAAGGGAATGAGGTAAGAGGGGAAAAGGATAGGAGGGTGAGAGGGAAGAGAAGTGAACAGGAGGCGAGACAAGTGATGAGAAGCGAAGGGTCGGGACAGGAATGCCTTCTGGCAGACTATCTGGAATTAGGGAAAATTAAACGTCACACACACATACAGTCCTATCTTCTTCCTTCCTCCCTTTCTCTTTCTCTTTCACTCACACATAGAGGAGATTGGAGTACTGCAGGGTGTTATCCCAAGAATTCTATTTGGGGTAAAGAGAAATTGTCTCAGGAGAGAGAAGGCTGAGGAGGGAGAGACGGGAAAGACAGAGAGAGGGGGGGAGGAGAGACGGTATCATTTTACTCTCCCATAATTAAAACAGAAAATCCATTTTGGGAGGAAAAAAAAAAAAAAGACACGGATTAATAAAGGTTAAATGAAAATAAACAGATAAATAAAATCTACGCTCCGCTGCCGTCTGTAAGCAAAAGCCAGATCTGATTCGTGATTTTAATTTGTGTGCGTGGCAATGTTTGCGTCTGTCATTGGTATGTCAAATATTTGCTCATTAAATGACACAAACAGACGTATACAGAGTGCGGTCCAGAGAGAGACATGGATGGGATGGCGATGCTTTTAAAACAGGGTGACCCCGATATAAGCGCACCAACACACACACACACGCTTGGACGCTAAAAATTAGGCTTTAAACCAAAGATTATTTACGAAGCTACAAGTGATGTGTTTTTGCGACTTCTACATGTTTGCACACTTTTGTGATCACGCGTGTGTAAACGTGTGCGAGTGCATTCTCCCTACCTGCGGTTTGGCAGGAGTCCAGTGTCGGTGTAATTCCGGTCACGTTGGTCTCCGGTAAAAATAGTGTGACCGTCTCTGCTCAGTCTGTACTGGGAGATGTGTCCATTAGGCTGGGATGGCTGATCCCAGTACAGCTCCACCGCAGATGTGTTTATTATTAGGTGTCTGGGCGTTGACCACACACCTGGAGTACAACAGACGGAAAGGAGAGGAGGAACTGAGAGTTTTCTACTTCAATTAATTAACATCTAGAATTAATTCGCAGCCCTTCTTCTGGGTATTTCAAACAAAAGTCCCGAGCATCACTTTGCATCCAGAACAAGGATTATTTCTGAGAAAAGTCTTGCTAGAACCAAAGTGTGCACCAGTAAAACTAAAAGCTAATGACAAGTTGAGCACTGTTTGGTGAACTGGAAACTTGAAAAAGGTGACATGGTTATGAAATTGTGAAAACTGAACCCTTAGAATGATAAAGAAGAAGGAAAGATTACTTAGGAGATCATGAGAGGGGAAAATTACACAGAAGGAGAGTTTAAAATCAAATTTGTGAACCAACACACCCACAAAAACATGTACTTGTATTTATTAAGTCTAATTAGAACGACAAATTTATCTAAGACGACGCAACACTTCGTAGTGAGATACAAGGAAATGAGGAGTGGTGGGAAGGAGGAGCTTAAAAAAGAAAGGAGGTACATATGAAAAAATAAGGAGATTAGATGTGTATAAAGACAAAAGATGTAATAGGTAATGGGTTATGTAATGTAAACAAATGGGTGTAAAAATGCACGAACAACTTAAATGAAATGTTTAAGCATAAAAGAAGGTAGGTGCAATAAATACAAAAAAGAGGAGTAGAGAAGATGGGAAAAAAGGAAAACAGAAAAGGGACAAGACAGAAGGTGAGACGGCAGAGAGGAGGACTAATTAGAGAGGAAAAAACTGCAAAATTGAAGTTCTTAATAAATTAAATTGCAAGATATTATTTTAGTCAGACAACAATGTAAGGTCTATGTAAGAAGAAGAGAGAGAGAAAGGTGAAGGGTAGCGCGATGCAGCAAGAGAGGCAAAACCAGGGAATATGAGGGGGAGGATTCAAAAAAGGAGAGCAGGGGGAGGAGAAAAAGAAGTGTGAAGAGCAAAAGGAGGATAATATATCTGAGAAGATAGTAAAGAAGATGGAGACAAAGGTAAACTGTAACAAAAATATTCACAAAACATGAGAAATTTAGTTAAATTTCAGTTTAAATTAAAATAAAAATTTAAATAATACATTTAGAACAATATAGCACACATCTAAGTAAATGTCTGGTCAGAGAATCTACTGTAAATGATCTTTATGCACTTATTTCAAATTTAATGTGTTTTAGTTGAAAAAACCTGTCAGGTGTGAACAGTACTTCATTTTTAAAATAAGTGTCTCTTCATGAAATCAAAAAATTTATATGTTTAATAACGGGATGAAGATTCTGCATCTCCAAGACCTTCATATATATGTGTGTGTGTGTGTGTGTGTGTGTGTGTGTGTGCACATGCATACCAGCAGGTAAGCCTTGCAGTGTTCGTCCTGTGGACGGTAAACTGGCTCCACATCCAACAGCTGTACAGGCCACCAGCACGAAGCCGTAGTCTGTGTATGGCTGCAAACCTGTAGCACACAAACATGTATGAATATGTGCTAAAAAAAAAAAGATCAAAGGATCGACCTCACATTTATATGCATATGCAGGATGATGCACACATATTTCCTACGTCCACATTCTTTTTGATTCCCATCACAATAAAGTGTACAGATAAGCTTTAAAAAAAAAAGAAATGGGCAGATTGATGCACATAAAGGGGTAGAGATGACAAAAAGAGAAACAGCAAAGTGAAAAAAAATGGGGGAAAAGTAAAACAGAGACCAAAGGGAAAGCTTGCCCGGCCCATATCACTAGCGTTCTCTCTCTCTCTCTCTGTTTCACTCTCCCTCCCTCTGTTCTTTCCACACTCTCTCAACGGATGGATCCATATCTGTCGGTGTTAAATTATGCATGCCATAACTCAATAATGAAACAACGTAAAGATGGGCAGCCGCGGAACTGACATGGGATAGGACCGGTCCAACGCTGTAATGTCATCAGCTTTTGATCTATGATAATTATGATACCTCTGTATGCGTTTAGGCTACAGTGTCCAGACATGATTTATTTATAGGCACCCGCTATGCAGTCTAAAGGAAATCACATAGAGACTGAGTGGTCCTTTAACTGAAACCACGGGAAATCAGCTCTCAGAAGGAGATCTAAATACTGAAAGTTGCTAGAAATCCTACATGTACCTCAGCAGTGTTACTGTCTCTGGTTACTGGAAAGCTTTTTTTTTTTTTTTCCCTCGTTCAGACATATTTCCTGCCTGGTTCATGATGTACGGTGAATGTATGAGGATGAACGCAAATCCTTGGGGCTGCCACGCGGGTTGACTGGATGCTTTATGGTCATTCACTTAGCTGACAGCATACAACAGCTTGCAAATCAAATTCCAAGGAAAACGAAAGAACTAAAATGACTTTATTTCAAACGGATGACTGCATAATCTAGTGCGCTGAATTCTTTATTTCTGCCTGAAATCTGTTTCAGGTGAAGCAGTAAATGTTTTACACTATTGATGATTTCTCTTAAAACACAAAAATAATTCTTGACATTCGTAAACATCTATTAATTAACTTTGTTTTCTTTCGTGTTTTATTATTTCAGCAGTTTTGTTTCAAAATTAACACAAACTGGCACATTTTTTAAGTGTAAAAGTGAAGATTTTGTCTATTTAACCGCTAAATGTCTGAAGTTGTCACAGCTTGGGACCCTTAATGGATAGAATTTAATAAAGTCAACAAACAACAACAACAAAAAAGCAAAAATAAAAGTAAAAAAACCCCAAAACATACAATTTAGATAATAATAAAAAATGATCTATTACCGTCTCCAACTGTGCATATTTGGAGGCTGACAAACTCAGCTGCTGTTTGCATTTTGATACCCACCCTGTGCTGACTGCATACAGCACCAACACACACGTAACACACTCACACACACAAACAAACACACACATATGCACACGCAGTCTGGTGCACAGCGGATCGCTTCCCAACATCTTCCTCACGTCTCTTTCTACTGCTTAGCCTGCTTAACATGCCTCGCAGCCTGCCACGCTTAACCCAACCTCTGATCAATGTGTCTGTGTGTGTGTGTGTGTGTGTGTGTGTGTGTGTGTGTGCAAATGTTCTCACAATGTTGCCCTGTGTTTCGGTTAAATAAAGGAAATCTGCCAGCCATACGAAAGTACTAGGGTTGAAGCGTAAGGCTCTGTTACACTATTTAACTGTGCAACTAAGCGTGTGTGTGTATGCATGTGTGCACTCTACCATAGTAAATGACATCTACGCTGCAACTGATGTCATTCGTTGCAACACTGAATAAAGCAGTAACATTTCACCAAATTTCTCTTTACACAGACAACTGTGTTGTAATGTTTCAGACGGAACGCACGTCGTGAAGTTCCACTGAAGACGTGCGACAATTATTTCAGAGCTGGTGAAAATTAAAAAATTAGATGAGAGCTGCGTGCACAAATAAAATCACCAAACTGCTTTGAAGTTTTGCCGATTAATTACACCGTATACTCATGTCAGGAACCAATGTGGAGCAACCTGCTTGTGAAAACTGACTCATTAGTTCCTCCCTGAAATGAAAAGGAGGCCAAACACCACCTGATTCTTCTGCCACTCATGCTTTCTCAAAAAATATAAACCAAAACAACTAATAGCTTTCATTCAATAGATGTGCAGATGTATGCAAAAACACACACGAACACCTTTCATGTTTCTGAGTATGGTTCAAATTACCTTTAACACTGAGCCTGAAGAGGGCAGTGTTGGTCTGCTGGAGAAGCGCCGCCACGTACACCACGGCGTATGTGTGCGCACGGAGAGTGTGTGTGTGTGTGTGTGTGTGCGCATACCTGTACGTGTGTGCGTATCCGCGCATACACTCGTGTGCTTATGTGCTTGATAATGGAAAGACAGAGGAAGCTTCAATCATTTTAACAGTGATCACCGGGAAGTGAAAAAAAACGGGTGGAGGGGGTTTTGATGTGAGCAGCCAGGGGCTCGCTAACGCAGAGCGGGACAAGGCTGTAGCTGTCACCGTACGAGCTGGACGCAGTGGAGACCGGTGTGTGTTTGTGTAGGACGCAGAGAGAACCAGGGACAGGGAGACTTTGGCAGTGGGACAGAGTAAAGAGTTGGTGCTTACATTCAAAACAGAGAGACTGTGCATGAGTACGAGAACAAACAAGTGGCGGGATGGTTGGTCTGTTGTTGTGAATTTCTCTTAAGTACGTGTGTGTTGCAGTAAACATAACTGATTTAAAATGGCATTTTATTGACAGGTTGCCATTCCCTGTTTGCATTAGAGAATATGATAGGATGATGGGCACAGGCCGCAATACCATGCCTGCCACCTGATACAGACGAGGCGAGGGAGACAGAGAGAGAGAGAGAGAGAGAGATTGTGAATTGAAAGAGAAGATGAAGAGAAAGTGGAAAAGCCAGGCCGGAGAATAAAAGAAGTGAGAAATGTGAGGACAGCTGAGAAAGACAAATGGAAAGAAAGGGGTGGTACGATAAAGCGCACCAGGCAGGTGGGACAAAAAAACAGCCCCTAAGAGATACAAAGAAAAACAAAATTTGCTTTATTTGCATGTGGAACAGATGATGCATCAAGAACAAGCAAATAAATAAATATATAAAAGAAAAAAACAGAGTGAGAGAGAGAGGAGAGAGAGAGAGAGAGAGCAGAGAGCTTTGATAACACCTCTCCTAAATAATTAAGAGTTTGACTTCCTGTCTGTGGCTCCCTAATGCAGAGACCGTCTGGGATGGAACAATGAGATCAGGTTCACACACACACACACAAACACACACACACACACACACACACACACACACTTACTCACACACACACACCCACAAACACACAGAGATCCCCAAAGCAAGTAAAGCCACACGTGCAGGTAAAACTTACTGTAAAGGGAAGAGCATGCACAGAGCATTCACCAGACGTGCACGTGTACAGATGAACAAGCACATGCAGACTTTAGATGCACAAATGGACAAATGTGAACGTGGAAGATGAGGCCAGAAAGTTGAGACGCAAAAGAGGTTAGAAAGTGTCACCTTGGAAAAACCTATAGACTTTTTACACCTGCATCTTTGTGATGCACATGTTTAATAAATCTTTAATTAGCTTTTTTTTTTGTTTTGTTTATCATAATATTTAAAAAATATATAATCTTGAAAACCTCAGGAATTCAAGAATGTGACACATTCACATTTGTTTTAACCAGTAGTGGAGCTTTAGTTACATTAAATTAAATTAATTCTGCTTGATTATATTTTGACCTGTTTGTTTCAGTTTATGTGCATTGATTCAGAGAAATAAAACAAAACAAACACCTTCTCATGTTTAGTCTTTCACAGTCCTCCAACGATATACATATTTCTCCCTTTCTTATGTGAAGACAACAGAAGGAGGGCCGACTTGCGGCCCAAATAGACGACTTCAGACAGGATCGAGTGAGGCAGCATCTGGGCAACATGTGGATCAACAGAGAACATCCGTCCTTGCTGCTGATTACTCAACTGAGCTCCAGTTTTTTTTTAATAATCAACTGCTATAATTGTGCTTCTAAGTTAAAAGCAAAATTAATGAGAAGGTTGGAAGGTGTTGTGGTTAACCAACTGGATAAAAAACTCTTTGTACACGCGGTAACGATGACACTTCTGATAGAAGGCGGATTGAGGATTGATACATGAGAGCGAGGCTCCTGTCGATCTCCTCTCCTCCTCTCCTCGTGTCTACATGCTTCTACCTATAGCATGAACCAGCGAGAGCGTGCACTATGGGGGGAGCGCATTAATAAATAAAAGAACATACTCTCTTCCCTGCTGTTCTGAATTAATAACGAGCCTACAAAAGACCAATTAAACACATGATTAATGCCATAATCTATATAATTGCAGGCAATAATTCATTGTGAGCTAATGATAGCAATACTTAATATCGATTCACATGGGGTGTCTTTGTACAGTAGTGCTTAATTCTTCCTATGAAGTGTCACTTTTCAGAACTGCTAAAAGTGCTATTAATAAGAGTCTATTTCTTGCTTTTCCTAAGGCAAATAATTGATAAACAAGAAATGGTTGAAGCCACAAATTTGTTTGTATATTTTTAGATTCTGGTATTACAGAGACCGCTGCAATTTTCATCATAACATTGCAAACTGCTCTGAATCCTATTTCTAGTTGTCAAGTTAAATGTTATTTTTGGAGCAGTAGAGAAATGATTCAGTGGTTACTGAAGCTCCACGTCTCCCTGGGTAACTGATGAGGGACCTCGAAGACAAAATACCCCTCATGGGTGGGTTGTGCTTCAGATAAGTGTTTTTATGGTATAAAACTTGTTTCATTTTTTCTATTAGCAAAAGAAAGAAAAACAAACCAACAAAGCCTTAAATAGCTGAAGTACACAAGTAATTATTTATGTCGAAAAGGGGAAATTTTGGATTCATGTATTCAACTTTGAATTGTTATGTCTTTATCATACAGCAACAGGTAATCCTAGTTTAAAAAAACTGTTTTACTATTACTGTCTACTAATTTGAAACCGTTATTGTCCCGTTCATCCTTTCATATCTGTTTTTGATGAATGTATACCTGAAGCTATTTATCAGATCAAATAAGGCACAGCATCGTAAGACTGAGTCAATCTAAAATCGACATTTTGGTTGCTAAAAAAAGGCAAATTTCTCCAGTTTCTGTGGTTTCAGTGAGTGTGTGTGTGTGTGTGTGTGTGTGTGCGTGCGAGCTCTTTGAGCGTCTGACTCTGACAGTGGTAAGAACCGTCGGAGAGATGCGGAGACGATGAATAATGGCGTATTAAACATTAAGGATGAGGGAATAGCGCAGCAATTATTTCTGTTCATATTTCACTGAAAACACTTAGATTCATCCATCCATCTTTTTATCTATCCCACTCCTTCCTCTGTTTCTCCTTCACTCTGTTTTAAAACGTGTCATTCTGTGGACCTTTCACTTCACCAGTTTGTGTAATTTTTTTTGTACCTCTTCTTTATTTCTTTATTTTTCTCCACCTCTCTTGTTCTGCCTTCCTCCACCTCTCGTGTTTCACTTCATGTTCTATTTGGATTTGTGCATGTGGTGGAATAAAAACAGTGTGTGTGTCTTTATATGACTCCAGAGGAATAGCCTGTGAAAGACATCATTTAAAAAACGAACAAACAAAAAAAACTAACTCTTATCTAATCAGTATGTTTTGAAGAGCATATAGAACATATAAATTAAACTAAACTGTGAACATATGCTCAGTTTATATCTCATTTATTTTTTGCATTCTGTGGTAAGTTTGCAACACTGATATTGGAACATTAAAGGCCTTTTCTGAATCAATTTGTAAGGACCGAAAAAAGTTCATTCATTTCTGATCACTTGTTAATGTGAGACACTGGGCTTCAGTGTGTCTACTGTAAAAACACTCTGTTGCAATACATTCAAACTGTGTCAAATAGTACTATAACATGCATGTGCTGTGAAAAGAGGGCTGCAAAGAGCAGAGATAAAAAGAGAGAGAGAGCGATAAAGGGGAAGAGAGTGACTGCCCCAGTAGTGGTTTTGGCTGAATACGCATGGTTTTCCAGTGTCTCACTGGGGGACAGGGGAATTTCACACACACATGCTGGTTGCTTACACTGGCACATGGGGCTGGTACAGTATTACAGCACATTACCATCTCTATTTGGCATTGTTTGCTTTGCCTCGTGCCTACACATACAAACACACATGCACACAACTCCTGACCATACAAGCCAACCACAGGCACCATGGGAATAGTCTATTGGCTACTGGCAAAGCTGATGCCTGGTCTGAGTCCAAGACAGAGCAGAGAGGAGAGCTGCGAAGCAGAAATGCCACTGAATTTCTGCTTCCAAAGATGTCATCGCTTGATTCTTGCGTGTAAAAAATTTAAAAGGGGGGTAATCAAATCAGCTTTGGAGCACTCAACATTTTTAGATTTTAGCTGCTCCACTCGCAAGAGATGCAAGTATGTCTAAAGCGATAATATTCTATTTGTGTTTGCCTGTTTTCTCTAAAATATTCCCTTTTAATACAGACAACCAACGTTGGCTTTACAGTGCTTCATGCAGATGTTTGTGTCTGCATGAGTAAGTGTGTCTGTGTTGTGACGGATGGCAGAGGGCCAGAAACACTGCTCCTCCTCAGGGTAGATAAAACAAGACTCACAAATCACCCAGCCCTGACACCGCCGTGTTCGTGTGCAGATCTACAATATTAAGGCACGTCTTTTGTGTACCTGCTTTACTTTTAGTGTTTTATTGGAGCTCCGGGTCTCAAAGTGTTTGTAAATTTACTTGTTTTTTTTTCCTCAAGTGGGTAAGTGTGTGAACATCTCTCTGCTGTGTCGTTTCTTCTGTGTGCATATGAGTGTATTTATGAATGTGAAAGGGGCAGGGCCAGAGAGCAGGGAGAGAAAACCAGGTGTAAAGATCACTTCCACAAACCAGTATACATAATAAACATATGACAAAGGAGGAGTGGGCAGGACAGGGCAGCAGAGAGGATGAGGAGAAGAGCTGGAGAAGAGAAGAAAGGGGTGAGGAGGTGAGAAGAAGGAGAGAGTCAAACGAACGAGACACGAGGAGAGAGGAGAAATAAATGAGAGCAAAAGGGGGAAGAAAAAAAAGGGGAGGGACAAAAAAAAAAAGAGGAACTGTACAGCTGAGGAGAGAAAGGACAAGAAGGGTGATAATGGAGACAAAGAAAAGAGCAGGAGGAAGGCACTAAAAAAAGAAAATCCAAAGGAGAGAGTAGAGAGGAAGAAACAAAGCAAAACAGGAGAGAGATCTGAGGGAAGACAGCAGGTAGAATGATGGAATGTGTATTTTACCAGTCAGGGTGTGATTTCTGGGTCCGTCAGTGTGAGTAAATACGGTTCCAACACCGGTCTGGTTCAGGTGGTACCGTTGTATGACTCCATTGGGACGAGTGGGTTCAGACCAGCTCACGTGGAGGGAGGAGGAGCTTACAGCTGTTACCACTGGAGGCTGCACGTCCTCTGGGACTCCGCGGACCGTCACTGCCACCACCTAAACACACACACACGGACATAGGCGGAGGCACGGAAACACACACACGCACAGATGCAAACAAATTTAACACACACCAAAATATAAAACACAACAGATTTCTGATATTTTACAGAATGTAAAAGGTGCATAAAACAGATGGATTTCTTGCTATGATCATTTATTAACGTAATTAACATGATCATAACCTCATAAAAAGTGCATTCAAATTCAGGACTCTGCTTTCTCAGGTAATAAAGATCTTGTTGACAGCAAATGAAGATGCTTCCTGGTGATTTAATGCATCCCGCTTTTCAAAAATAAAATAAAATGAAACCAAAAAATAAATAAATAATGAAAAAAATAGAAAGATACTCATCTTTTTTTTTTTTTTGCTTGAGGAGCACATTTTATGTTGCAAATAAAACAAAACCCACACTTTCTATAACTTATAGTACAGAAAAAAACTACACTAGTGTCTGCCAATGTAGTACTACAATACTTTAACAACTCTGACTGTTCAGCAGAGGTATGTCGACTAGACTCGCAATGAATTAATCGATTAGTTGCCAACTACTACATTAATGGTTAACTTTCTTTAAGGAAATAAATCAAAACCTTCTGATTCCAGCTTCTTCAATGTGAATATTTTCTGTTTTCTTTATTCCTTCATGACACTAACTCTGGATTGTGAACAAAACAAGACAAAAATAAAACGTCATCTTGGGCTTTGGCAAACACTGAGCAAGGTTTTTCAGCATTTTATAGACCAAACAACTAATTGATTAATTGAGAAAATAATCAACAGAATAATCAACAGTGAAAATCATTAGTTGCAGTCCCACTGTAGACGACAGCATCCTGTAACACAGGGGCTCTCAAACTGTTGACCTCTATCAGGATGAAGACCCAGTGCAGCGTGGATAACCAAAGAAATAATATGTGTAGCATTAAACTGAATAAGTATGATTTCAGTGGGGAAAATCTACCAATTGCAAATCAGTTTGCATGTTAGAAAACTTTTCAGAACATGATACTACATTTTGTTCCTTGAGCCCACTGAAGCAGAGAATGAATTTGAGCAAAGTGTACAGACATTAATTAATTTTCCCAGAGTAGTACTCAAGTGTAGGAATACTGGAGACTAACAGATTTTCTCTCTAGAGCATTACTCCCATTCTGAATGGATATTATTCCTTTATCAATACATTTAATTTCTGAACAGACGTGAACCTGCAAGATGTGTTTATGTTGCATGTGTAGTTTCCAATCAGCAGTAATCCTAAATATCACTGCGAGAAAATGGGAAAAAACACATGACAACTCCTCAGTAGGTTCAGCTCATGCAAAAAAAACAAAAAATTACAGCTTCTTAGTACAGTGATAAGAGTGACCATCTTATTGTAAATTCCCAGTGTGGTATCTGTGGGCCCCTGTGAACGCTGGGTGAATGTGGAGACCACAGAATCACAGGGCAATCTGCTGCTAATGGCAACAGGGATATCCTGCCTTAATAGACTGTCACTAGCACTTCCACCACCTGTCCCACACAGTGCTATGCAATTAGAGCACTGCTACTACAACTAAAGAGACACACAAGCACGTGCACACAGATAAACACACGCACACACACACACACACACACAGGTACGTGCAGGTGTACACACGCAAACACAAACAGGTAGAAGAGAGGAAACAGCAAAGGAGGAAGACGGTGAGGATGAAGCAGGGGAGGCGTAGTATCAATCAGTGACTGCCTCAGTGTGCTGTCAGCTCAAATGTCTGTCAAGATGTTGCTCAAATGTAAAGAAAATAAAAGCCAGATAACAAACCTGCTGTGTATGAGTGCAAGCGAAACACAGTGAACTTAACTTAATGCTCACACACCTCTGAATGCAAAGATTAGTACTCAGAGTTGACACAGGTGCAGTCAGATGTTAGGAGGAATAACTAGGTCACTAGCTACATCTAAAAATACTTGATTCATGCATCCTATACTGAAAAGGTATTCTGAATATTTAATTTCTAGTAATTATATGCAAACATGACATGGTGGAAATCGTTAACAGCTCAGGAAATACAGTCTAGATGCTTATGTGTGCACCAGAAAGCTCCGTACTGTACATGAGAGCACACACCTCACCAGGATACTCTTTATTCAACCCTTGTGTCGGTACACGAAAGAATAGAAACTCAGAGCGCCAGAGGAAAATGGGACTGTGAGAGACATACAGATAAGGGAGAAAGGGAAATGTTGGACTCCGGATGACAGGACGCACAAAACCGGCGAGAAGAAACGAGGATGAGGGAGGTTACGAAGGCAAACAGTTGTGAGAAACTGGGGACTGCAGTGCTGAGATCTGGGGAATGACAGGAGACAAATAGCGGAGAGAACAGGACAAAAGGATTCGAAGACAGAGGAGGACCAATCGCTCTTCCTCCCTCTCTAAGTGACCAACCGTATTAGATCAGCACCTTCTGTTGTCACGGCAGGTGTGCGCTTGTGTGTGCCTGTGTTTGTTTGTCCGTGCCTCCCTGTGTGTATGTGAGGGGGCTGATGCCAGGTAATTGCAGTGGTGTATTAGGTTAGCCCAAGTTATCCCATAATTGGGACTGTTTGGCCAATTTTCACTGGTGTACAAACTAATCCAACTCACTCCCTTCTCACCCTCTGTTGCGAGTGTGTGTGTGCTTGTTTGTGTGAACATATGTATGTGTGTGTGTGTGAGACAGGCAGGTAGGCAGACAGAACATGGAAGACTTTAGTTTGTGGTGTATGTGAATGTGTTCAGAGCTCTCAGTTAAATGGATAAAGTTTCCTGACAGGATGGTCCAGGGGTCGATTTTGAGAATTTTCAATACAAAGTATGCCAAGAGTTGGGTGAGTGTTTCTATGAAAGCCCAATGTTCAAGTCAAATGATGTGTTGACCTATCACGAGGCCCTGCAGCACCATCATTGTCTAGTCCTGACCTGGCATCCCTTTAGACTGCTTTAAAACACTACTCAGGTCATCAGGGTGGGCATCGACTGTTCACCCTCTCAACAACTGGGCTGTCAATGAGTTGGGCCCACAATGCAGAGAAGGTTCAACAGCTTTCCACAGCTCAGTCCCTCCGTACCTGCACCTCAACTGGGTTGGAGCTGAGCTTTGCCTCCTGACATCCAAATTACATCCTGTCAAAGCTCAGCACCATCTGTTTCATTATCACAGCATTACCAGGTCGCATACAACTACTGAAATCTGCTTTCAGACAATGTCTTGTGCTGAACAAACAAATGTAAAATGCCGCCTTCTTATCTTTGACATAATTAAACAGCTGTAGCATCACATAGCGGCACGACCCACGCTGTCTCCAAACCCAGAGAGTGACTGTGTGTAACTTACAGAGGCGGCACAGCAGTTTTAAAATCAGTCATTATTTACATCTTCTGTGATCTTTATCATGATCTTATATAGCCAACGTAAATGCTTTTCTGCACAGGAGACAGCTAAGTTGCTGTTTCTACAGTAAAATCATCGGAAGTGTTTCTGTTCATGCTGAACCCAGCGCCTGACGATGTGTACAGGTGTCACTTGAATGACTTGCTATTGAAGACACAGTAACCTTTCTTACTGTCCACAGTCTCACTGGAAAATGGCCCTGTCTGCACGACTATAATCAACACAGCCCACTGTAGCAAGTTATACTTGCTGCTGTCTACAACATCGTCATCAGCCTGCTTGCCAGTATATTTGCTAAATAACCAGTCGCTAACATTTCATGCTGCTCAACCCACAAAGTAACAAACCAACATTAAACCAGGTGCTATCATGGTTAGCTTAGCCGCATGCTGCATGACCCACCAAGTAAACCAAGGAACAACCACTGAATGCTAAACTAACTAGCATTCAATAATATGTTAAGCAAAAAAATCATGCATCTGAAACACCAAATCAATAAAAAAACAATCAGCAACTTAACCTTAATATTTAACAAAGACAATGCATCACATGTAATACCACCGTCTACCAGCAGGGCAGCTAACATCAGCAATAAACTATAAGCAAATATTTAGATCTTGTTTTTTGTTGAATAAATACCGCAAAGTTTAAGTGACTATTCAGATTTTTGTTCTGTATATCCAGAAGCATTAGTACAATCTAACGACTACAATTATTACTACATTCTGTGTGTGTGCTGGACTGTTAAGAAGTAGTTTGATGGCCCGTGAAACATATAACTTGGACAAGTTAAAATTCTTTATTCAGTGTCTCCCTGCCTTAAAACAGACTGTACAAGCTGTTTTTAAAGAAATATGCAACATATCAGTGACCATAAATGTTTACTGGCTACTCATGAGTCCTGGGCTAATCATAAGTATGCCAACAGATCAAACTTCTTTGGGGGTACAGGAGCCAACAGGAGTAATGCAAACAAAGGGTGTCATTCTGCTTTTAACAAGATGTCTGGAAATTAAATAAAACTAACAAATTAACATGTGCTGTTGTTTGTCTATATAAATATATTTGCAGAAACTCAGACATGCTTACAACAGCAACAGAATCCCGATGTCCCCATAGTGCAAAACCTGCAAAAAACATTTCTCTTTCTTCTCCAGTGACATAGCTATAGGCTTCCTCTTTACGTAAGAACGCACTTATCAAAAATAATGAGATGTTAAATTAGCTTTAAAAAAAAAAGCCAGAAAGACAGTTTTCAACACGAGCTTTCATCACCACTAAGCCGGAGAAATTAATTGTTGTGGTGATATCAGCTCAGCTACAGCCAGAGAGATAGCAGGGGGAGTTCTGTGTGAAGGTATTATGGGCGTTATCACAAACATCAGGTAGGCTCAGCAAATCCAGAGCCTCGCATACAGGGGGAGAGCGGAAACAAGGCTAAATAACAACTTGTTCCAGCACAGGAACAGAACAGAGTTCACACAGTGTGGAAACATCACACACTGTAATTTCGTAACAACAAAGGTCAGACAGATTTAGAATTTGTAAAATATCACTCGGCAGAACAACTGTGCACCTGAATTATGAAGTAAACATCGCTTAGAAATCAGCATCTGAGGTGGCTTTTACGAGAGGGTAAAAGGGCATTTAGCCGAAAGGCCACTGGCCAAACAATGGATCAGATGAGCGGCCAACTGCAGAAGACCAACGCTGCAAGGTTGCTGTTGTAAATTTAGCCAGTGTGAAGTGGGGTGGTGGCATATCCAGGCGTTTTCTCCTTGAGAGAAAAGATGAAAAGTGATCTTCGCACACTTGTGTTCAGACAAGTGCATAGGAGACGATTAAAGTACATTTCTTTAATGGCAAAGAATCAAATTTTTATACCTGATGAAACACTGACAACAAAAATACTAACAAGCAACAATGCACCAACATGTGTATGCGTCTTTCCTGACGATGCTAATAAGGGAGCAATGTTGCCTCTGATTTCTCCCTCTCTCTCTGTTTCACACACACATGCACACACCAACACAACTTTTTCCACACATCCTTCTTTTTCTTTTAAGTGTTCAGGCTAAATTAAAGAAGTGAACTAAACTACAGAGTAAAGTGGTGCTTAGTTCAGTGAAGCCCAGGCCATCTTTAGAGGAGCCATTAGATAATCATACAGTGGAATAATGTCATTATGAAATGGGGTGCTACAACAGAGTAAGGTTTTGTAAAGTATGTGTGTGTATTAGTGTGTAAAAAAGAGAGAGTGCTCTACAGGAGAGAGACAATCAAACAGCACACAGTGGGAATCAACAGAACAGATATTCTCTTTCCAACTGTAGGGGCAACCAGTAATGTTTTACTGTCTCTTTGTGCCAAATTACTAGAAAATACCAACAAAGCATTGCAAGTGTTGCTTATCAGTGCCAGCCACCTATTTGGTATCTAAAGGGCTGCTGCAGATAATAAATATGCCAGCAAGCCCAGACTTTTAAAAATGAGTACTGATGCAGTAATACTTTTGCTAGGCATAAGTAGTTCGATAACCTCATCTCCTTATCTAAACTAATTTTTAAGATTGTCCATAACCTGGCCCCTCCCCCACTCAAAGCTTTTGTATATCAGACAGCAGAAACGGCCAGAAGAGTAACCAGAACAGCTACCAGGGGACACTGCAACATTCCAAGATGCAAAATGTCATTTGCCCAGTCTGCCTTCTCCTGTCTAGGTACAAAGAAATGGAATGCGCTCCCCCAAGAAATCCTGAGCTTAGACAACGCCAGAAGCTTCACAAAAGAAGTTAAAGATTGGTTTCTCGCAAACCAGAGATGTCTGCATTCATAAATGTTTTTAGTGTAATTTTAGGGCCCCGAGACATGTGTCTGTAACTCCGGCCTTGTGGTATGACACAAATATCTGATGCCTATTTTAATACTTATTGTGATTATGCACTTAGTCTGTTGAGTGATGTATGTTCTATGTTCCTTTTGTGACGAATGGATGAATGTGTGTGAAACACTGACTGCACTGTAAACATGTCACTGTGACCTCTGCCCCTTCCCCAGGACTACAGATGGAAATTAGCTCGACAGCTATAGTCTGGTACAAGCATCCTTGCTCTTGAGCATAATGTAATTGTACATTGTCCGGTCAATAAACAATAAAAAAATAAAAAAATAAAAAAAGTTAGCCACATAAGATTTTCTTAATCTCGCAACAGTAAAACAGCACCGACACCAAACAGACATGTAGTTTTACCTCTGGACTGTCAGTACAACCAGCCCGGTTACAGACCCTCAGCTGGTAACTGTATTCCTGGAAAGGCCTGATCCCACCAACATCAGTGAAACTGTTTTCATCACCACGATAGCGCTCTTGCCCATCCCGCAGTATAACATAGTGGGTGATCTCACCTGGTAGATAGGGGAAAAAAAAAAAAAGTTAAATTGGATTACCACTATTAGATTTTGTTCTCAGTATTTGAGTCTGCATCTGATCATGAATTCACCTTTACTGGAGTTAATTAAACTGAACCACATCTACAGAGAAGACTTTTTATCACTGGGTTTTTTACTACTATCATAACATCTGCACACACACGTATACAAACCATTAGGTCTGGCGGGAGCTTGCCATTGCAACTGGATGATGTCATCTCGTTCACCTAGACGGCTCCAGCGGGGCGGTGCCGCTCCCCACGGTTTGTCCTCGCTGGTCGTCACTGTTGCAACGTCGCTGGAGCCTCGACCGAAGCTGTTCCAGCCCCTCACTCTATATTCATAGGTGGTAAAAGGCTCCAGGTCAGAGTCTGTTTCAGAGTAAGGAAAGGAGGAAAGACAGAAAAGGGGAGCAAGGGAAAAATTAATTAGCCCCTAACATTTACCCTCTTTTTTACTGAACAAGATGAAAAGTTTAGAACCATTTTTTTCATTGGACTCTGACAGTGAGCAGTACTGTTGGGCTGTATGTGCACTGCTAGGACTGATGAGAAACAATTGCAGCTGTGGCACTAGAACTCTAAAACCATTTAAACACCTCAAATTGTGGAACTTTGTGCTTTCAAACAATATAGAGTTTGTCAAATTTAATATAGAATGGGCTGATGTCATTGAAAATACAGCAACTTTAAAGGGGAAAGAAATATGAGATGAATTGAAAGGAGACCAACATGGACTTTGCATGTCTTAATATTTGACTTGTTGGTGCACTTGCTTGATTTTAATGAATGATACTGATGAATGGGAAGAAGATTGTCAAATAAGGGATTTAAAATGTTGTGTAGCTCTCAGAGGAAGTACATTACAAATGTAAAGATAGTACGCAGCTAAATAATCCAGATGGATTTGTGCCCTTAAATCCTTTAAAACCTTTTGCCTTTTTATGCAACATGTGTGGTTTGTATAATAATAGTTGCACCTTTGCAGTAAGACTGGGAGCTGAGGTGCAAACGTAAGCTACATGAGGATATAACAAATATATGCACTATCACTGGCGCAGCGTTGTAAACGTCAGGCCGCGACTGAAGCCTTGTGACGGACAGCTTGTTACAGCCCTTCTGGTGAGGTATACATACAGCTGCATATATACATACAGATGTACCTGCACGCATATGTGCATTATTTTTAGGAGTGTAAAGGGACTTCTGCTGTAAATGAGACCAGGTTGTAACTGCCAGTCTGGGACTCTTGTCTTTACTACTGTGATAACTGAAGAAGCAAAACACCCACAGCGACACACAGATGTAAATAGAACACTGAGCACAGACACATGCTAGAAACCCTGTGTTCGATTAAGAAATATTAGAAATACAAACTGTGTGTAGACAATACAGTATACGCTGTAATTATGATGCTCGGTCCACATGTGGAGCTATCTGGGTGTGATCTACCTCAGGTTTTTTTCTCCCCCGAAAAGTATAGCATGATACTCTGCATGTGAGTGTGTGTGTGTATCTGTGTGTGTGTGTGTGTGTGCATGAGAAACATCTGGTGTATGGTGGGTGGCGACAGCTTTATGTGCCTCTGCCCAGATGGTGTCACAGCATCGCCTAGAAACTCTTATCCTAACCGCCCCATGCTACACACACTCACACAAAGTAATTGAAACACATACACAGAACTACATTCACTTCAGAGGGGCACTGAAATAGTAACTAACTGGACGCAAACGCACACAAAACACGTGTCATTACGAGCACACAGCCACCCAGACACACACACACACACACACATAGCATCCACAACCACAATTAGTCTTGATTAAACAGACGTAACTACCCGGATAAATAATGTGTGGACAGACTGAAAATCACGACACACACGCCCACAAACACAAACACAAACACACACACACACACACACACACACACACACACACACACGCTCTTACTCCCTTTGGGCTGATAAATAGTGGAGAATGTTGAAATGGCATTTAAACGCCCATCACTAAGTTTTAATGACACACAAGTGTACAGCACAGAGAGAGTTACCATGTTACAGCTATTAATGTACACTGCAGCAGCTGTCTTGGTGTGTGTGTGTGAAAGTGTGCGTGGAAGGGCATCTGTCTGCGCGCCCGTTGATTGTAGCGGCTGCCACATTTAGAGTAAATGCAGAATTGGTTTCTGCAGGGTCGCAATTTCTATGAGCGTCATGTTTCACAGATGGCTATTCTATATTAGTTATTCTTCACTACGTCTCAGAGGACTGAAGTGAGAGTTCTAATTTACAGCAGTTATACATCAAAGGCCGGCAATGTAAATACATCACGAGTGGTCAAAATGTTTAAAACTCAACTGGATTACAGAAAAATACTGACATCAAGTAAACATTCAGTGAGTTTAAAGGGGGATGCTGCAGATTTTATTCAGTAGTTTTTATATTTTACGTACAAAACATTGTAAATTGTACATTGTTTTATCAAGCTGCACAAGTGTGGTTTCACTCATGCTACATAACTTGGCAATTAAAACTAAAAATGTGAAAAAGAAATAACGGACTAAGTGCGAGGTGTGTCAGAAAAGTTCCAGGACTGGTGTCACAAAAGATAGATTTCAAATCCAAACTACAAACCACCAGTTTTCCCCTGCAGACGATCAACCAGCACGTCTACAAAGAGATCCTGCAGCGTTTGCTTCGTTCAGTGCGCGAGAAGAGGCCAGAGTTGTGGCAGGACAAGTCGTGGCTGCTTCACCATGACAACACGCCTGCTCACAATGCTCTGAGCATCCAACAGTTCCTGGCTGAGAAGAACATCACCGTGCTGGAGCAACCTCCCTACTCACCCCACCTGGCTCTGTAGGATTTTTTTCCTCTTCCCCAAGCTCAAGGGGGTCATCAAGGGGACCCGTTTTGAAGACGTGGATGACATCAAGATGGCTGTGACGACGGAGCTGCGGAGGATCCTGGAAGAATCCTTCCAGGAGTGCATGGCGGCGTGGCAGAGAAGGCTGGGTAGGTGGGATTACTTAGAAGGGGATAATTTGTAGTTTGGATTTGAAATATATCTTTTGTGACACCAGTCCTGAAACTTTTCTGACACACCTCGTATAACCTGCCAGACGAATCGACTTACAAGAGCTGAAACGATTTTTCAAAAATACTAACAAGCCTAGATGTTTGAGGCGGAGTACAGTGTGAAGGTGTGATGAGAAAATCAGAACTTGAACAGATAGCCCACAAAAATACCTTCAGGCCTTTAAAGCATTAAATATTGTCTCATAGACAATAAAACAGCAAACCTGCATTGACAAGGTGATGAAAACATTATGCAGAACAGCATTAAGTAGTCATTACTGGATGAATATGGTTAAAAAAAAAAAAAATCTGATGCATTCCCTGTAACAATTCTTTTAAATTACAGCAAACATAGATACATTACCTGTATAGGTGTATTTTCCGGCATCTCCGCTGTGCACAACCTCCTCGTGTGACGGGCACAGGCTCCCCTCGAACTGCTTGTTCTCAGCGTGCGTGTGACTGTATGCGTCTAGCATTTTGTAACTGTTATTACTTCTGTTTGTATGTGTAGACAGGCCTGTAGCGAGTGTTTCCTGCGTGGGGCTGATGAATGGGGAGTACGTTGTGGACTGTGTGTCAGGCTGTGCCGACAACACCCATGTGCAGGCGGTCGTAGATGGATCAAGGTCACAGGAGCCACAGTAAGCTGTAGACGCTGCAGCTACGGGACACACAGCACCCTTTAAACACTGGTGCTGCACAGAGAAAAGGCAGAGAGACGGAGATAAACGGAAAGAATGAAGGGGAGGAGAAGGAGGAGTTAAATATGTACCAGAACAGTAAACAGCAGGATCAGAGGAGAAAGAGGAAAAAAGGTAGATTAGTGAAATTAAGGTATTCAGAATGGTTATTTTTCTTTAAGTGAGTCGTCAGCTAGACAAACTTATCCAACAGAAGTTCACTAATCCTGTAATCCTCCACACATACACATGCAGAATGTAGCTACATATGTATTATGTGCTGTTTGTGTGTGTATATGTGTGGTATACATGGCCCTTAATAACATCATTAGAGCTAATGAGAGTTCCTACCCTTTGTCCCTGTTTGTGTGTGTATGTGTGCATGCATGTGCCATCTCCCGCTGACTCAGAAACACACAAACGCCACATGACCCCAGTTGATAAATGGAAGATGGCCCAGTCCCCAACTCCTGATGTGACAATGAGAGTGAGTTTACCAGAGAAACGGAGAGATTCTATCGAACCCCTAATGTCCACTGGGCTGCTGGAGACGATCGGCTCTGCCATTACAGCCGATGTGCCAGAATTTACTGGACGTTTAAGTCCAGCATCTAACTTGCAGTGCTCTTTTTTTTTTTTTTTTACTCTGCTTCTGTATCTTTATGTGCATTAGATCTCTCTTTTTTTTTTTGGTCAGACCAGCTTGCATCTCTGAAATTAATGTCAAATTTGCTTGTGAATGCAACACCTATAGTAGATTAAAAAAACTCCCACAACATTTAACAGTGGATATAATATGAATGCATGTTTTTTTTTCATGTCACTTTTTGTTTTTTTTAATTTTTCAGTCTGTCTTAAACACAATAAGGAAAAAAAAACTGCTTTAAGACACTCAACATCTGGAATACAACAGTGGACGCTGAACTGCTGCAAAGACGTGATGAAGCAGTGGTGCAGCCGCTTCAAGAACTCATGAGGTACAACAAAGATAAAGTGTAAAAGATTTAGAAAGAAACTGACACAAATGACGGATTTCTCATCTGTGGCACTTATAATAGCAGACAAAACACAGAGTGTAAACAAGAAAAAAAAGGATGCACTATCTTAGACTCAAACACACACACATTGTCTCACATAAAAACACACCTGTATGAGGAGACCAGGTGTGGGTCGGGCAGCGCACACATGTCGTTGGGGGTCGTAGCCAATCCCATTGCAGCATTCCTCTCCTTGGTGTATCACCTTTGACCCGCAGCACTGCAGCGTCACCGTGGCGTTGCCAGCAGGGTGCATTGTGGGATATCCATCATTGCCCACGCAGCAAAGAGAGGTTGAAGAGTTGATGTACTCCTGACCACAGCAGACAAAACCTAAAGACAAAAGATTATTACGGTTTCATATGTTTTTTTTCACAATTTTTTTTTTTTATCGAGACATTATTTGTTAAGGAACTCTTTCCACTTTGGGCTAAAACTGCCAACTCTGTGTTTTCTTGCAACAAATTTAGCTGCCTCACAAATTATTCAAAATCTAATCAGAAGGTTATGTTGGTTTATCAAACCGCACACATTTCAAACGGCTGTTTAGGACACACTGAATGGTCAAAGACAATTTCAGTGACACTGCTCCACCTATAAACATCTCAGGTCCTCCAATACTTCAGTTGGGCCTCTGACATCATCTCGATTACATACTTTCATTACGTTTCTAGATAACATCATCAGCTTTAAATGTCTCTCTATTACAATAGATATTGGCATCACTTTACATTTCCTCATCAGCTGCGTATCCACACTGAAACAGGGTATTTTCTAAAACCTCTCATCCTATTATTCTGCCTCTTTCCTGCTCTTATAACCCCTCTGCTCTTTCTGTTTTATATCTTGTCCTCCTCCTTCCAAAATCTTTCCACCGTCCTCAGTTCCTTCCTTTCACCTCACATTTTATACTTTCTTCTCTCCATATTGTAAAAATATTCAGGCGCCGCAGAGCTGAGTTGTTGCTCATCTACACTTCCTAAACTCCCCTTTCCTCCTCTCTTCAATCCGTATTTTCCGATCTGCACAGAAACAGTATTAAGCTGCTCTGAATATTACTGCGCATCTTTTCTTATCAACTCCTATATACATCCACCTATCCTCCTCTCTCCCTCCTTCCCCTCCTCCCTTTCCTCTCCCGTATTCATCTCTCAGCAGTAATATTAAGGCTACGCCGTTGAAGGAATGCAAGGGGAGAGGAAGTGTGTTTTTCTGAGAGCTGCCATTTCTGACAGTGATAGGTGATGTCTGTCTGCCACCACTTCACCTTCAGCAGCAAGGTGACATTTAAAATACATGCTATCACTCCATTTGCCTGTAAATGTTTTCCAGCTGAATATCAAATTTCAAGTATGTTTCGTCGCATTCTCTGCTGCTTCACATTTCAAATTCAAATAACCCGAGTTGCTTTTAATGACTGACAAATTAAAACTGCTGCAGTAGTTGCTGCATATGTAAAGTAGAAATTCCTGACAGATATAATAATGTTTAGTGTAAAGAACATATAAAAAGGATGTGTTTAGAAAGCTGAATAGATAAAACGCTATAGTTAGAACTCTACTTCACTGAGTGTTTTTTAATGAAATTGTAATTTTGTCAATTAAACTTCCCAGAAAACACAATGAGCCTAACACGGGCTGCTGGTGGTGGTTTAAGTAAGTGATAGTTTACATTAATAATCTAGTAATGATGCAGTGTTCTGCTGGGAAACCGAAAGTCTTTCATGTGAGTGTTATTTGACACCATCCACTTAAACACTGGGGAAGACCACATGGATCCTCCCAACACTTGTAGCAGCAGAACAATGAGCCCTGTTGCTCCACAGGAATGGCTCGAGGAACAAAACAAAGAGCCCAAAATGTTAAACCAGCCACCAAACTCTCCAGATCCCAATGTGAACTAGCATCTGTGGGACGTACTGGAGAAATTCTCATCCACTGAGGCTCTGGTCCACAGAACACAGGACCGAAACCACATTCACACCTCGCCACAAAAGACTCTAACGAACCCCATCGTGGCAGAGGGAGTCCGAACGACTGAGGGGGAGGAGCAACAAACCCACAGTTGAAACTGAAACTAAAGTGTTAATGGCTCCTAAAGAATACAAGTACAGTAATATCCGGACTACAAGACGCTACTTTTTTCACATGCTTTAAACACTGCGGCTTAAACAATGATGCAGCTAATTTATGGACTTTCACAATTTTTACGAATTTGCCTCGAGACGACAGTGACATTGAGAGTGACAACGAAAGAGAGACTGAGAAGTGTGTCGAAGTAATTCTGATGCTGTCCAATTCCGACTCTGAAGAAAACGACTTTAGTGGTTTTAGTGCGCAGGAGGAAGATGAAGATAGTGATCAATGACTTTTCCTGGTAGGCTGCTGTATTTTTATTTTTTTTTTAACCAGCCATGTTAAAAGCGCTGTTTGGAAAAAAGCATTTACGGTATTTGTGTGTGTTACCGGTACGTATTTAATCAAAAGTTTTAAAAAAATAAATCTGTGTAAATATCTCATGTTGCAACGTAGACACCTGCAGCTTATAGACAAGTGCAGCCTATATATGTACATCTTTTATTTCCTTTTTAAAGTTAGTGGGTGTGGCTTATATTCAGGTGCACTCAATAGTCTGAATATTACGGTACCTGGAACTCCCAACTAGTCAGTCAGAACTGATGAAGCCTCTTGGATGAAAGGTGAAATGTCTTCAAGAAACTCAAGCAAGTCCAGTTGCTACAATTAAACTATGAGAATGACTGAAAGCCAGCGTTTCTGTACCAGACACCACAGGACACCCCCAACAGGTCCAGTGTCTACGGCCTTGTGGGTCGGGGCTGTATTGGCGGCATGAGGGGGAATCTGCACAATTATAGGCAGGTGGATTTATGTCGAGGCTGACTGGTGCAAATCATACAAATTCAGCAAACACTAAAGGTCACGTGTCGAGAGTTTAACAAACTGGGACACACAGGACATACAACACTGGTGAAAGCTGAGGATAGTGTAGTGAAGCAGAGTAAACACGGTGTCTTTTCTCCAGTGGTCGTCCTAATAACACAAGTTGAACCAATCTGGTTACTTTGATGGCTTAGCTCGGTGGAGGGTGGGGACTGGCAGGCTTTGGCCTTGCAATGGATTAAGGCTACAATATTGTCCTGCTATAACACTGACTCAGCAAATCCCTGCTGTGAGGGTGCATTAGAAATACAAATGAGCAAAGCGAGGCACGGCTAAAGTAAAGTATTCTAACTGCAAAGATGGGGAAATGAAAAATCATCTTTTAATGAGAGACTCCAACAGTACAACTTCTCATTTTGAATTACAGACCGGAATATTAAAGATAGAGCCAGTCTTTTGCGGTTATTTAGTTTATTGTAAAAATAATCTATATTTTATGAGGTGTTTAGCAAATTTATCCTAACAGTTGATGACATGCTGATCTGTGGCACAATCTACCCCCAGCTGTGATGCCCATTTTATTTGACAGCAGACATTAAACACTAAGTCACTGCTTTGTATCGCGGCCTCAGCCTTTAATGGGGCTGCAGCTAGTTGTGGAGTGATAAATAACTTATTGTTTAACACTCTAATCAGCATTCACACTTCGAGCACATTAAATGCTGTTAATTTAAGCAATCATTTCACTTAAAGGCCAAAAGTGGAGAATGCCACATATTTTCTGCTGCACTGTTGCACTGCATTATATCCTCAACGCATCCATCACAGGCTCCGTATGACAGGAAAACGCATGTGTGTGTGATTGTGTGACATAAAGGCAGTCTGACGGCTAGTAACTCACTTAGCAGCGGCAGCTGTTGCGGAGCCGGGGCTTGGTGGCCAATTCCCCCAGCGCCTTACTTCAGCTTCAATGACGCGCAAATAAACAGCTCAACACTTTTCCAAAATAGCTTCTCTCCACTCACCCCTCGTCCTCTCGGCATCCTCACCTCTACTCCTCCCTTCCATCCGGACACCAGGTCCTCCACAACTCACAATTTTCACTCATTTGCCTCCCTTCCGTCTACTCCCTCCACATCCAGCTGTCTCCCTCTGTGTCATCTCACATGGCTCCGTTCAAACAGCTCTCTCATACATTTTTCTGACTCAAGAAATGACAACTTTATCACTTGTGAGATTGATCTGTTGCCTCGTCTCCATCCTCCATCAATTTTTTTTGTCTGATCATTTGTTCCTGCAACTTCTAAATCAATCTATCCACCGTTCCACCTCAATAACTGTTTGTCTTACTCTACTTTAGTCAGTTTATTCATTTCCTTCCTTCTCTTATGGCCTCTTTTTTTCTCTCCTCAGTTCTTAATTTTAACTCATTATCTTGTAATCTTGTTCTCATCTTACTCACTCCCATGAAAACAGGTGAAAACAGATGCGTACTCTCATGCACACACTTAGTTTGTGGACAAGTTTTCTACATTTCTCTTTTCACCATACTTCTACTTGCCCCTCTCTCGCCCATATTTCTCCACTTCAATTTCATGACGTCGTCTTGTTTCCATCTCCCTCTTATCCTGTTTTCCTTTTGCTCTCTCTCTCTCTCTACCTGCATGCAGTTCACAGGTTTACATTGTTTGTTTACTATTCTGCACCTAAACTTCACTATTGTATTATCATGCATTCAGCAGAAATCCAATCCCTGTCTTTGTAAGCGTTATCTGTGTATGGGTGTGTGTGACATGCCTGTACATTTGTGTTAACATTTGGAAACGCACACCCCTATTTTCTCTTCCTCTCTATAAGCTGTGTGTCTTTGCATGGGTGTGTATGTGTTGAGAGCATTTTATCACACACCTCTTGTTTTCTCTCTTGCATCACAGAATGCTTCAGCCCTAATCTTCAGATTTACGCAGGATTTGCATACATTCGTTAATAGCGTCGGGAGCGCCGCGTCAACACAAGGTGCTTAGACAACGTGAATTATTATTAGGGTTTCAGTCATTCCACTTAATGATAAGTCAATATTTAGCCCTGCCAATGAACTACTGATAAAAATGTGTGTTGTGGATTAGGGTTATCCGCGCTCTCTAGGAGACCAAAACCCCTCCACAACTTTAAACAAACCAAACACTTTTAAATACCTGAATATATTACAAGGGGTTTGGCACGAAGTGCACAGCAAGAGCACAAATACATAGTTTTGTGTGTAGGCATAACAGCACACACTCACACTGAAGCAGGTTCCATAGACACATATTGGTGTACTTACTAACAAACAATGCTTTGGAAGGTTTTGACTTATCAACGATCTCTACATACTGGTTTCAAGAAATTACGTATGAAAAGCAAACGATAAGTTTGAAAATGTGTTTTTGATTT